ACTTGTACAGTATTGGTAGGAATGTAAAATGATGTGACCATCATGAAAAACAGTACAGAGATTCCACAAAAAGACTAAAAATAGAATTGCCATTTGCTCCAGCAATCCCACTTTGGAGTGTCTATCCAAAAGGAATATTTGCACACCCATGTTCATAGCAGCATAAGTCATAATAGCCAAAAGATAAGAGTAACTTAAGCATTTCGCGACAGATGAATGCATAAGCAAAACGTTGTTCATACATACAATAGAACATCATTCAGCCTTAAAAGGGAAGGGAATTCTGACATATGCCATAACATGAATGAACCTGAGGATATTATACTAAGTGAAATAAGTCAGTCACAAAAAGGCAAATACTATACAATTCCACTTATATAAGGTATCGAAAGCAGTCTGACACACAGAAACAAAAAGTAGAAAGGTGGTTGCCAAGAGCTGGAGGGAGGGGGAGTTGGGGAGTTATTATTTAATGGATATAGAGTTTCAGTTTTGCAAGGTGAAAAAGTTCTGGAGATTGGTTGCAAAACAATGAGATTATACTTAACAGTACTGAACTGTATACTTAAAAATAATAGAGATGGTAAATTTTATGTTATGTGTATTTTATCACAATTGAAAAAAAGGAAGCTGGGCATGGAGACTTAGAAGAAGAAGGGATAGATTTGCTGTTTGGTAATGCAGGTTCTTGGGCTGACTGTATCTAAATGAGCCCCAAGTCCTTTGTAGCATCAGAACACTGTCTGGATCCCTGCACAGCCTTCAGCAGCCAGAGCAGATGGGCAAGGCCAGCTCTAAAAGTGTTACTCCTTACCTCCTCTTCACAATCTTGATGGTGGTAAAAACCTATTCACCTTTGCCTTCTTACCTGACTCCCATCTGTCCTATCTGAAGATCCAAGGACAAGCTCCAGAACATGATGAAAGGAAGGCTTGGCTCTCAGGCATGAACCTTATAAATTATCCTATGGGCACCCCATCCACCCATCCATCCACCCATCCATCCATCCATCCATCCATCCATCCATCCATCCATCCATCCAACCATTCTTTCCATATTTGTTGAGTATCAGCTCAAGAAGCTGAAGAGATACATATGGACAGTACAGACAGACCCTGTCCTCGTGGTGGGGGATACAGACGGGTTATCAAGAGAACGAAATGCAGTGTGATATTTGCTAGGATAGGAGTCATCTAGGGCACTTAGTAGGGGACCTAATTTAGTCTGTGATGAGAATTCATGAAGGAAGTTCAGTCTTAGGCTGAGACTTGAAAGATAAATAAGACTTAAACGGTTAAGTAGGAGAGAGGGAGGCAGGGAGAGTATGGCAAGGAAAATCAAGAGCATGGGCACCTTCTGGAGATTTCAGACCATGCAGGGCCAGGTGAGAATTTGTAAACAACTGAGTTGAGGAAGGAAAGGTGAGAGCTGAGGCAAAAGAGGGAAGCAAAGATGGGATCTTGTAGGGTTGTTTAAATACCCTTTGAGCACCTTGCAAAGTGCTGAGTGGGGATATGAATGTCTAAGACAGAACGACCTGATTCAGTTAGAGAGGCAAAGGAAGACAGGTGGGGGACCGTCCAGACCTGGAGTCAGATTCTGGATCCAGCAATCTGAAAGCTGTGAGCAAGATGCCCACCCTCCTACTCCATGTGGGACCCCCTCCACCTCTCCCTACTGTGTCAGGTCAAACTAGCCACCCAAGAGGAACGTGTTACCTTTCACCTTTCATCGTGGGATGGGGGCAGAGTGTCCTTGAAAACAGTCCAGTGTACCTCCCTAGCTCTGCTACCTGTGGTCCCCTCTCTGTGCATGAGAACATCCCTGCCCTCTTCTTCAATCAGGATTTGATGGCCATCCCCATGCCCTGTCTTCTCTCCTCTAGGCTGGGCAGTCTCAAGTCTTAAAATCATTCCTGGTGCTCTGTCCAGCCAACCCCGTCTTTCCAGGACCACTTGGGTTATGACCCTGTGGGCCCCAGGCCAAGCCTGCTCAACCCCAGTTGCCTCAGGGACTTCTGTCTAAATGCCTGCCCCATGTGTCCAGGTCTGAACTTCCTAAAAGCCACCTTTGGGCCCCAGCCCTGGCTCTATCTCCAGCTTATCTACTACCTGCTTCTGAGAAGCCACTTCTTGTAAGCCAGGGACCATCTCTTCTCCCCTTAGGACTTTCTCAGCTGTCTTCAGGTGGCCCTCTCTAGAAAGCCAATGATCAAAGTGCAAAGTAGGTGTTTTTTGGTTATGACTCTCCCCTGAGATAGTGCAGAGACCTGTCACAGGAAAGGCCCCAAAAAAGATTGAAGAAGGACAACCTCAGCACCTGACAATAGTTGCTGACAGTCTATTAGGAGGCATGAAAAAAGAACAGTTATTTGCAGAGTTAATTGAAAGAAAGGAGGTGGGGCAAACTGGAGAACTGAACAAAATCTAGCAGAGTGGGTTCTTGGCTGCCTGGCACAGGGAAAATTCTTGTGATGCGCTGGACTTTCCGCTGGCCTTGGGACACTGCCTCTCGTGTGAATTAATCATTGATGAGGCTGATAAAGGGCTGGGTAAACTGGGATGCACGTTACACATATAGAGGATGTTGTTCTGGGGGAGGTGTAGCCTGGCTCTCCTTGTGGCTCCTTCAGAGCCTCGGGCTATGGGAGAGGCCTCCTGGAAGATGAGACAGAATTGGGGCATTATCCTGGGTACCTGACACCCTTTGTCTATCACTGTGCTTCCTGACTCTTCACCTTGCCCTGAGCAGGTAGCAGGTTGGCTGCTCGGGAATAGAAAGGCCATAGCCTGAGAGAGGACATGAGGGGGCCAGTCTGTCCTGCCTTACTGTGGCTTCCCACCCAGACTGGCTCCAGGAGTCCTGCCACCTAGATTCATCCATAGCTCTCTGCCCACCCTGCAGAAGGCATTGCGTGTCCGTCTCATACAGACCTCACTGACTCCAGGAATATTTCACTGGTGCAACAGCTGAGGTTATGCGTCGCACACCCTGGAAATGTGGTTATCAGCTATCAATCCTGCGCCCACAAACTCATATTTCAACCACACAGAATCTTCTGTTCTCGAAGCTTCACTGCACTTCCACATCTTTCCCCAGGCTGTGTTTACTTCCTGAAACATTCTCCCTAATACCCTGCCTTCTTATCCTGGCACACACAGATCACCACACTCCAGTAATCAACAGAAATATAGATTGAGCTTCTACTGTGTGCAGTATGGGGTAGGGACGGGGGAGGGTACCAAGAGACGGAGGCTTTGAATAGACAGACAACCAGCAACTCCTTCCAACCCACAACTGGCCCCTCCAATACAGATACACGCACACACACACATTACCACCCTCCAGGCTTAGCTGACTCTTTTCCCTGCTTGTGATCCTTCCTCCGTCACCTGTAGCCAAATTAGACTCAACTTTCAAGCCTTAGCTTAGTCGCCACCTTCTTCAGGAGCCCTTCCTCAGTACTCCTAGTACTCTTCTTTCGCCTGGAGCTCCTGTACTGATCTGGACCTCCCCGGGGCACTCATTAGCATACTGATATGTGCAGCTTAATGACGCCTCCATCAACGACAGACTGCATATACGACAGTGGGCCCATAGTTTATAACGGAGCTGAAAAATTCCTATCACCTAGTGACGTCAGAGCCATCACAGTGTCGCAGTGCAATGCATTATAACTGCCTACAGTATTCAGTACAGTAACATGCTGTTTAGGCTTGTAGCCTACGAGCAATAGGCTGTACCATATAGCCAGGTGTGTAGTAGGCTTAACCATCTAGGTTTGTGTACATGCATTCTATGTTGTCTGCACAATGACGGTATTACCTAACTCATTTCTTAGAATGTATTCCTAATGTTAAGACTATGTCTGAATTCCGACTGGCTCTGTGTCCTGGGGTCTCAGTTTGCCCATCTGTAAAATGGAATAATAACACCTAACTCATGGTGTGGCTGTGCTGAGTCAATGTAATTGTACACAAACCAGCTTGTACTAAATGCAGCGTTTTAATCTCTGCATCCTCAGCACTGAGCACGGGGATGAATGTATAATTAGTGCCAAATACCTGTTTGATGGATGGATGGATGGATGGATGGATGGTGAATAAACGGAGAGATTCTTTTTAAAATATGAGACAATTTTTGCTGGTCTTCCATGGTAGTTTAGGAAGAACCTAAAATGAAACAAAACAAACTAACTAACTAACTAACTAACTAACTAACTAACTGACTAACTAACTAACTAACTGACTAACCTTTACTGTGTGGCATACCTACCACGCATCAAGGCTCAACATACCGTAAGTTGTCAAATTCCAGCCTCATAATAGGAAGATATTACAGCAGAATGAGAAAGTGGCTATTCTGAGAGGGGTAGTCAGTGGATCAACAGCGCAAAGTAAATAAGAAATAGTCAGGACTGGTGGCTTTGTAGTTTCCCAGATACCCAGAAGGAAGAGGAGGGCTTGCTTCAAACTTCAGCTGTCCGATATCTTAGACTGGGAACATCTAGAGGGCAAGGCCTCTCTCGAGGCAGAGCTGCCCCACCCAGGTCCCTGGATAAACAACTCACAGAGAATCTGGCTTTGGGGTATAAAAGGAGGGAAGAGAGGCTAGGCTGGGGAGGTGGTTTGGGGTCTTGCCCTATGGAAGCTGGCTGTGGGACTTCCCAGACACCCTTCCTTCTCCAGCTTCTCCAGCAGCAACTTTTAGCAGCCTCTATGCACAGAAAGTTAACTCTGGGCTTACCTTCTTGAAAGAACCTGAAGCCTTTACTCCTTAATCTCACCCTCTTCCTTTTATTTATAAAGTCTTCCTGATCTTTATATCTCTTGCAGGTCCCTCCTCCTTATTCTCACTCCAGACTCTAAAAAACCCTGATTGCCAGGGTGAGTCAATGGTTAACACTCCACTGGCTTGATATAAGCCTGCCCTGCCGCCTACCTGCTCCAGTCTGTCCTTCAGTTCCCTGGATCCCTGAGACTCCCTCAGCCCTCTACACCATGGCCACTTGCTGGCAGGTCCTGTGGGCATATCGCTCCTACCTGACTGTGTTCATCCTGCCTATTCTTCTGCTTCCTCTACCCATCCTCATCCCTGCCAAGGTAAGTACTTGGGGTTCTGGGTGCAGATAAGCTCCAAGGGGGCAGGAGAGGAACAGTTTGGACCAAGGCTTGGAATCTTTAGAACCAGCATAACCTACTTATCTCTCCTACCCTGGAAGTGAAGCTGTAATCTCCTGGTCCTCCTGAGGGATGAGGGTTAAGCTATCAAGGGAGGCTTTTGCTCAGCATCCAGTAATAGGAGCCCAATGCAAATTGCTTAGGTGCACTTGAAATCTACTGCCTGGGGAGTCAGGGAGCCAGTTCCGTAAGAGAGGTACAGGTGGAAGCAGATGGGGCTGCTTACTATGTGCCCATCTGCCCTGGCCTGGGCTCAGTGGGACATGAGCAGGGCAAGCTGCTGGCGAGAGATGGAAGGGGAGTAGGATAAAGCTAGCTTAAGGCAATCTGTGCCTTTAATAGTATAAACAGAGTCTAAGGCCGTGCCACCCTGAATAAGCCCGATCCCGTCTGATCTCGGAAGCTAAGCAGGGTCAGGCCTGGTTAGTACTTGGGTGGGAGACCACCTAGGAAGATCAGGTGCTGTAGGCGTAAAAAAATTTAAAAAATAAAAATAAGGGATTGTAAGCTGACAAGGTCCTTGCAATCTGTGAGGTCAACCAAGGGTGCTCACCTATGATCTTGAGGGCTAAGTCTGCTGAGGGACCTGGACGAGTGGACCCTGCCAATGGGCACCACACACACGCTGTGTGGAGGGGAAGATGCCACCGCCTCCTGTCCCACCCCCACCGTAGCAACAGGAGTCGTAACTTCAGCTCCCGTTAGTTGGAGCTCCTACCACATATCCTGTACCACGTACCCAGTAATCCTTTCTCACCTTGCGAGTCAGGTCTGACTGTTCCATTTTACAGATGGGGAAAGTAAAGTTAAGTCACCTGAAATCCCGGGATAGATTTGGTTTTGTGGAGCTTGGATATTATACACTTTTGGGGTCCTCTTGTAAGTAAAAGAACACAAAATTATGAATCTTTTTAGCGCAGAGCTTGGAGGTTAAGGAGGAGGGCCTGGAAGCTCAAGTTTCACAGTAAATCTCCTTCTGGCAGGTCACACAGTTAGAAAGTAGGGAAATTGAGGCAAGCTTTTTGTTCATGGTGTCCCAAAGGGGTGACAGACTGGGCATATAGAGGCACAGACACTGGGTCCCTGACACCAGCTAAATAACAAGGCCTGGCTGACCTTTGAGATGACCCTCATCTCAGGCCACAGCCAGTAGCATCTCTCATCAGATGGGTTTGCAGATAAGCTGGCCCATATGTGTTAACCCCGGGAAGGAGGACAGACAGGTACCGTGATTCTCATTTTACCCCTCAGGAAAGCACAGCCCAGAAAGGTTCAATAACTTGCCCAAGATTACACAGGAAAGCCTGGGTCAGTACTGGAAGCAACGTGTCAGGAGCCTCTGTGTTCGGTGTGCTGCACCCAGCTCTGCTGCCTTTTCTGCCCACAGATACTGCCTCTCCTGTCCTGACTCAGATGAACTGTCCCATGTCCAATCTATGGAGGTCAAATTCCCCACCGGGGCACTGGATACAAGCCACTCTCAAGGATTTTGCTCCTATTACCTTCTCTCTCTCCTGCGTCAAGTTCCTCCTCTCCGCCTGATCTCTCCCATCAGCGTACAAACATGCTGTAATATCTCCCATCTTAAAAAACAAACAAACTCTCCTTTGATCCCACATCCCCTCCACATATGCATCCTTTCTATGCTCTCTCTCCTACAGAGGGCCTCAAGGACTGTCCACACTGCCCATGTCTCTCTTTAGACAAGTCCAGTCTCCAAGACTCGACCTACCCAGAGAGCTTTCGTTGAGTCCCCATCAGCTTACATGTTATCAAACCCCTGGTCAGTGCTTAACTTCCTCAACCCTTCAGCAGCATTTGTCACCTTCATCACCCCCTCTTTGCAATGCTGTCTTCTTTGGCTTTTGGTGACACCTGCAGACACCTCCCTCAGCCACTTTTCCTGGCTCCTCCTCCCTATTCACGTACTCTCCCCCAGGTGATCTTTTTCTGCTTCCTGCTTTAAAAAACATCTCTATGCAGAGGATTTTCCAATCTATAACTCCAGCCCTAACTTCTAAACTTTTATTATCGGATTAACACTGGATGCTTCCTCCTAAATATTTTCTTTCAAGCAGCATATACTTTTACATGTCCAAAACTAAACCCTCATCGCCCAGCTTTTCCAGTCGGCTCTTCCTGCAGTCTTATTCATCAATATGTGGTTCAACCTTCTACCTCGGAGCCATTCTTGATTCTTCTCTATCTGTCATTTCCGCATGCCACCAGCAGGTCATCTTGACTAATCCCAAAAATACCCCGAATACAATCACTTTCAACTGCCTTCATTCTCATCTAGGCCACCATCACTTCTTGCCTGTCCTCATTCCTCCCCAGACCATTCTTCACTCATCCACCTGGTGTTTCCAAAACATAAGATCACGTCACTACCCTGCTTAAAACCCCACACAGGCTTCCCATCAAACTTAAAATCCAAACCTCTTAAGGCATCCACGAGTCCCTGGGGCTCCACCCCTGCGGACCCCTCAGTCTCCATGCCCCATGCGCTACCTCCTGTCTACTCTGCTCCAGCCCCACCAGCTTTGTCTCTGCTCCCTAGATTGTTCATCTCCCTGCCTGGAATGTTATTCCCCCAGATGCCCCCTTCTCATTCCTTAGGTTTCTGCTTAAATCCACCTCCTCTGACCACCCCTATTTAGAGGGCTTTAACTCTCTGAAATGATGTGTTTGTTTTCTGTTTGTTCTCTTACTCCCTATACTAGAATGTAGGTTCTATGAGGACAGAGACTTAGTCTTTTTCCATGCAAAATCTCCAGTGCCTGGCACATAGTAGGTGCTACCTGTCAAATGAATGAATGAATGAATGAATGAATGAAGATAATAATATGGGCAAAGAGGGCCCCGTTCTAAATTTCTGCTGAGTTCCTGCTTTCTTTGGTGAGTCCCCGAGCTTACCTCCATGCCCCTGGCCCCTGAAGTGGGAAGGAGGAGTTCAGACTAGACTCAGACCTATGTCCATATGATAATAGGTGACATTTATTGAGTACTTTTTTATGTGCTAGTCATTGTGCCAAGCACTTCAAAGCACTAACCTATTTGTTTCTCGCGATAACCTTTGAGTTACTATGAGGTTACAACTATTACCTTCATTTTACAGACATGTGAATTCAGACCCAGAGTGGTAAAGTAATCTGCCTAAACTCCCAAATGGAAAAAGGCAGTCTTGACCGGAACCTGGTCTCAGGGTGTCTGCCTAAAGCTATCCAGGGATGGAGGGTGGTGGCCCTGTTGTGAGTCACGTCTTGAGCCATCTACCCTCATATCTATCCAGCTGTCAGCCAATCCTTCCGCTGTTGTTCAGTCTGGGATGTCTATTGAGCTCTTGCTCTGTTCTGAGGGTTACCAAAAAAGAGTACAGATGTTTTGTCCTCAAGTTAGAGGAACTCTCAGTGTAGAGGAACATGCATTTAAGAGGTATAGCCAGAAGCCTGCAGAAGCTCAGAGGAGGGAGAAAATTCTTCCAGCCAAGTCAAAGGAGAATTCAAAGCAGATGGTGTTTGAGTTGGACCTTGAAGGCTGAGTGAGATTCCAACAGTCAGAGGCATCTGCAGAGGGACAGCCAGATGAAGGGACTACAGGAGCAAAGGTGTAGGGACCGGAAATAGTAGGGTGTGTTTGAGAATCCTTGAAATGCTCATCATCCTCTGGTGGTCCCAGCAGATGGGGGACAATGGGGCCTGAGGCCTTCTCACTGCTCCCCAACCCTAAACCCGACAGTGAAGAAGCTTCATCAGTTTGCCAGAAAACTTACAGCCATTTATTCATTCATCCATTCATTTACTTTTTAAGGGACATGAACTATGTGACAGGCACTATTTAGGTGCAGTGCTGTCCATACTATGAAAACCATATAGTGGTCTGTGACTATGGCTTAAGGAGGGGCTGCTCTAGATAGAGTGGTCAGGGAAGGCCTCCTGGGTGGTGATATTAACACTAAGATATTAACACTGAATAGCAAATAAGAGCAAGCTAAGCACAGCTCTGGGTAAAGAGCCATCCAGGCAGAACACATAGTGTAAACACCCAAAGCCAGGCCTGAGCTTGGTAAAGTGGAGGTATAAATACAGCCACTGTGACATGGGGGCCTAAGTGAAGAGAAGATGGCTTAAGTTTATTTTAGAGAGGTAGACGGAGGTCAGCCAATGTCAGCCCTACAAGGCTAGGAAAATGAGTGAGAATTTTATGCTGAGGGCTATGAGGGGTAAATACTTTCTCAGAGATCAAACAACTAGTAAGTTAGAGTCAAAACTGCAAATGCCTCCCAGGACCCAAGGAGATCTATCTGTAAAAATAGTCTCCCAGTGGCTAAACATCTGGTCGGACAGAGCTTAGCTGAAATCCATATCGTATTTTCAGTAAGAACAGAAATTTCAATTTCCTTATTTGAATAACCTGCACTCCTACAACATAACAGTATTTGTGTGTGTACACGTGCACTTAAAAGTCTATGTAACTAAAATATTCTCACTGCAAGCTATTCCTGAACCCCAAAGATGCACCCAGGACTCAGATGACTCACTGTGGGCTTGAAGACTATACAGGAATCTGGACCTCAGTTCTGGGTCCTGCCTTAATCTTTTGAGATTTCCTGGCTCTTGGTCAAGTGGCAGAGTCCAGGGAACAAAATAAGGATTTTGAAGCCAGAGAAATGTGGGTCAAAATCCACTCTGTAGCATGTACAGTCACGTGACCTTATCAAGCCTCTCCAAGCCTCTCACCCTTAAGGGATCCACTGTTGTCAGTATGAAATGAGATAATCCAAGTGCATAGAGTATCTGGCTCCCAGGGCTCAGTAAACAATGGTTTCCTCCACCCTTGGCTTTTCATCTGAATCCTTGGCCCCTGGAAAATACAACTAGCCTCAGGCACTGTGGAGATGCCTGACATCTTCTCCAAGGTGA